GCCTGTGGTCCCAGCTACTTGGGAGGCGGAGGCAGGAGACTCGCTTGAGCCCAGGAGTTGGAGGTTGCTGTGAGCTATGAAGCCACAGCACTCTACCCAGGGGGATAGCTTGAGGCTCTGTCTCAAAAAAAAAAGAAGAAAGAAACTGGACAGATCCTCCAAGAAGAAGGCAAATATAAAGAAATGATGGGCATAAACACAACTCTAAACAAATGGGCTTAACAGATGTATACAGAACATATCACAATATACTGGATATACATTCTTCTCATCAGCTCATAATGATTCTCTAAGATGGATCATATCCTAGGACACAAATCAAACCTTTGCAAATATGAAAGAAAAGAAATCATACTGTGTATATTCACAGACCACAACAGAATAAAAGTAGAACTCAATCCCAACAGAAGCACACATCCCCACACGAAGTCATGGAAACTAAACAGCATTTTGCTGAATGCTAGCTGGGTCAAGGAGGAGATAAAAAGGAAATCATTAAATTTTTTTTAACAAAATGATACCAAAGCCACAAGCTATCACAACCTGTAGGATATTGCAAAAGCAGTCCCAAGGGGAAAATGTATCCCATTAAATCCAGAAGTCTGAAAGAACACAAACCAATAAGCTAATGAAACATATTAAGGAACTGAAAAATGAAGAGCAATCCAATCCCAAACTTAGTAGGATAAGAGATGTAACCAAAACTAAATCAGAAGTAAATGAAATCATGAACAAAAGAACAATTTTGGGCCAGGCATGGGTGCTCACACCTATAATCTTAGCACTGTGGGAGGCTGAGGCAAGTGGATTGCCTGAGCTCAGGATATCAAGACCAGCCTGAGTTAACAGTGAGACCCCCCTCTCTAAAAATAGCCAAGTATTGTGGTAGGCTACTTGGGATACTGAGGCAAGAAGATCTCTTAAGCCCAAGAGTTTGAGGTTCCTGTGAACTATGACACCAAGGCACTCCACAGAGGGTAACAAAGACCCTGCCTCAAAACAAAGCAAAACAAAACTATTTGGAAGATAAACAGATCAAAAAGTTGGTTCTTTGAAAAGAAATAAAATTGATACACTTTTGGCTAGATTAACCAGAAACAGAAAAGTAAGATCTCTAATAAGATCAATCATAAATGAAAAAGGGGACATTACAACAGATACCATAGCCATACAGTAGAACATCACCAAATACTATAAAAATATTTATGCACAGAAATTTGAAAATGTGGAGGGAATGGATCAATTTCTAGAAACACACTACCTTCCTATACTCAACCAGGAAGAACTTTTGAACACATCTATATCAAGCACCAAAATTAAATTTAAAAATCTCCTAGAAAAGTAAGTCCTAGACCAGACAGTTTCACACACCAGTATTCTATCAAACCCTAAACCCTCCACAAAGAGCTTGCAACCTATATTTTAAAACCTATTCCAAAATACTGAGAAGGAAGAAACCCTCCCTAACTCCTATGAAGCAAAAATCACCCTGATATCAAAATCAAGAGAGAATTCAACAAGAAAAGAAAACTACAGACCAATATCATAAATGAATATTGTTGCAAAAAAATACTCAAGAAAATCCTAGCAAATAGAATTTAGCTACACATCAAAAATGTAATATATCATAATAAGGTAGTCATCACTCCTGGGAAACAAGGCTGGTTCAACATAGGCTAATCCATAAATGTAATTCACCACATAAACAGAAGTGAAAACAAAGACTATATGATCCTCTCAATAGATGCAGAAAAAGCATTTGACAAAATTCAGCATCTTTCTTGATGAGAACACTGAAGAAAATATGCATACATGGGACATTTCTTAAACTGATACATGCCACCTACAACAATCCCATAGCCAATATCCTACAGAATGAAGAAAAGCTGAAAGCATTTCCGCTTAGAACTGGAACCACATGGGGATGTGCACTATTGCCACTACTATATAACATAGAGCTACAAGTCCTACCCAATGCAATCTGGCAAGAGAAGGATATTGAGGGTATCCAAATGGGGACAGAAAGGTTGAACCATTTATTTTTTGTGGATGCAATGATCTCATACTTAGCAACCCTCTGGGACTCAACCACAAGACTCCAGGAAGTGATCAAGAAATAGGGTAACATCTTGGGATATAAAATCAATGTCCACAAGTCAATATACACCAGCAACAGTCAACCTGAGAATCAAAGACACAATGCCCTTCCCAGTAGCTTAAAAGAAAAAGAAATACCTGGGAGTAAGCCTAACAAAGGATGAAAAGGATCTCTACAAAGAACACTATGAAACCTTGAGAAAAGAAATAGCAAAAGATGTTAACAAATGGAAGAACATTGTATGCTCATAGCATACGATAGGAAAAATCAGCATTGTTAAAATGTCTACACTATCCAAAGAAATCTACAGATTTAATGCAATCCCCATTGAAACACCAACGTTGTACTTTAAAGAATTTGAAAAGATAGTTTTTCATTTAGTATGGAACCAGAAAAACCCTGAATAACTAATATAATTCTAAGAAATAAACACAAATTTGGAGGTATCATGTTACCAGACTTCAGGTTATACAAGTCTATGGTGATCAAAACAACATCCTATTGGCATAAAAACAGAGACATAGATATATAGAAGAGAACAGAAAACCTAGCTATGAGACCAGTCCTATATCACCATCTGATCTTTGACAATGCAAACAAAAGCATACACTGGGGAAAAGAATCCCTATTTAATAAATGATGCTGGGAGATCTGGGTAGCCACAAGTAAAAGGCTGATGCTGAACCCACGCCTCTTACCACTCACAAAAATTAACTCGTGATGGATGAAAGATTTAAACTAAGACATGAAACTCGTGATGGATAAAAGATTTAAACCTAAGGCATAAAACTATAAAAAATCTGGAAAAAACTCTTAGCAACACTGGTCTTGGGAAATAACTTACAGAGAAGACCCCAAAGGCAATTGCAACAACAGCAAAAACAAATAAATGGGACTTGATCAAGTTAAAAAGTTTCTGCACAGCTAAGGGCACAGTCAACAAAGGCAAGAGACAACCTTCAGAAGGTGAGAAGGTATTGGCACCCTACAAATCTGATGAAAAGCTAATTAGAATCTACACAGAATTCGAGGAAATCAATAACAAAAAGAGCAAATACCATTAAAATCTGGGCTAGAGACATTAACAAAATCTTTTCCCATGAGGGCAGAGAGTAGCCAACAAACTGGTGAAAAATTATCAAAGAATGTTGATAATCAGAGACAAAGAGCATTCTTTCCCCCAGTGTATGCTTTTGTTTGCATTGTCAAAGATCAGATGGTGATATAGGACTGGTCTCATAGCTAGGTTTTCTGTTCTCTTCTATATATCTATGTCTCTGTTTTTATGCCAATAGGATGTTGTTTTGATCACCATAGACTTGTATAACTTGAAGTCTGGTAACATGATACCTCCAAATTTGTGCTTATTTCTTAGAATTATATTAGCTATTCAGAATTTTTCTGGTTCCATACTAAATGAAAAACTATCTTTTCAAATTCTTTAAAGTATGATGTTGGTGTTTCAATGGAGATATCACCTGGTCCCAGTGAGAATGGCCCATATCTCAAGGTCCCGAACAGCAGATGCAAGAAGCATGGGTGCAGAGCGAAGGGAGCACTCCTGCACTGTTGATGGAACTGCAAACTTGCACAGCCTTTATGGAAAGAAGTATGAAGAGTCCTCAAAGAACTAAAAGCGGACCTTCCATGTGATCCTATAATCCCATTATCAGGTATCTACCCAAGAGAAAAATAGTCACTCTGCCATAAGGACATATGCACTCAAATGTTTACAGCAGCCCAATTTATAATTGCAAAGACGAGGAAATGACCGAAATGCCTCTCAGTACAAAATTGGATCAATAAACTGTGGTATATGTATACAATGGAATACTATCCAGCCATATAAAAGATGGAGATTTGTATCCTTTGTTACAATTTAGACGGATTTGGAGAACAATCTCCCAAGTAATGTACAAGAATGGAAAGACAGTCATCACATGAACTCAGCACTACTTTGAAATTTGTGAATTGGCTCGGTGCCTGTGGCTCAAGTGGCTAAGGCGCCAGCCACATACACCTAAGGTGGTGGGTTCGAATCCCCAGCCCGGGCCCGCCAAACAACAATGATGGCTGCAACCAAAAAATGGCCAGGCGTTGTGGCGGGCGCCTGTAGTCCCAGCTACTTGGGAGGCAGAGGCAGGAGACTCGCTTGAGCCCAGGAGTTGGAGGTTGCTCTGAGCTGTGAAGCCATGGCACTCTACCCAGGGGGATAGCTTGAGGCTCCGTCTCAAAAAAAAAAGAAAAGAAATTTGTGAATTAATAACAACATGCTCACGTGAGAGAAAAACTTAACCAAATCCAAGAAAGGGCTTTGTGGGTGGGAGGGTTTCCTTTCCAGCAGGAAAAATGTATAGTTACATGGCATACTTTGGCATACTTCCTGTGTGAGGCACAGAGCTACAACTCAGACTTTGCCTTACTAATGTGAGCAATGTGGTCTAATTGTATGTACCTTTAATCTGAAATGAAAAAAGAGATCCCAGCTAAGAGCAAAACTACCACCCCTCCACAATTCCTGTCCCAGCCACTGTCTCCAAAGACTATTCCTTGTCTTAAGATGATCATCTGCACCTGTTCAATTAAATCTTTATTGAACATACATCTCTTGGTGGCAAGAACAGGCAATATGCATTTTTTGTGTTTCCCTTACTACCTAAGTATTGGTATTGGTAGTCTTCAGCGTTGCCTGAGTAAACTAGGCAATGGTGTCCATACATAGCCTACCAAGGGAAGTACCTATTCAGCAATGAGGTATGTAACACTTTTTCTAGTACGAGTTTGTGAACCTAATTGTCCAGCCTTATATGTCCCAAGTGCCTCCCTACATGGTAAATATTCTTGCTTCCTTTCACAAATCACTTCAACATACTGTGTTTGATAGATTATCTTAAGTCTAATAATTTTAACATTTTGTTAATTCCTTTGCAAAATCAGAAATAATTGATAACTGCATCATAAAAAACCTTTTTTCACAGGATATTGAATAGTTTTCTATGTCCGATGGATGTTTGTATGTCCAATGAGTTAATGATATATGCCATATGCAATACTAGTAAAAAAAACTAAATTGCCATATTCTAAAAGTATCATTTGATGTTTTAGATTAGCTATCAGAATAATGAACTTACCAGATTTGGGGTACGTGACTAGGAAGACATCATCATCTCTAACTTCAAAATCATCTGTGTTTTCCAACAAGTTAATATTAAATCTTTCATTCCTAAAATAATATCCTTTAAATTTCAATAAATTTGTTTCTAAATCTGCCATAATTCAGTGCCTGCAAGAGAATAAAATTCTTTGAATGAAACTTATCTTTACTTCTAGTCATATATTCAGAAAATAAATTGATTCTTTATTTTTCCCATAAACATGTATAACCTTGTAGCTCTAAAAATCAATTCTGGGTGAGTCACTTGTCCCAGTACTTAGGTGCCTGCTGTTCAAACAGTGGGCCTTGGTTTTCTGCATATATGTTCCATTCATGCAGGTATGGGGAAAGGAGGTGAAAGTAATTGTTGCAATAATTTCAAAAAATGATGTTATCAGGGATTTGATATACGTTACACTATAAAAAAATATAAACACCAGACTTGAATAGCCATAAGGAACATTTGTGAATTAGTTAGGTGCATCAGAGAGTCCACAGCTAGGTCTTTTTTTATTGTTGTCTAAACTAGGGGTTTAGAGTAAAGAGTAAATCTCTAATCTCTAATCTCATCAATCAGAAATGGTAAAGATGAAATAACAACAGACCCCTTAGAAATTCAAAAAATCCTTAATGAATATTACAA